GAAGGGCTATACAGATGCTGATATGGTAGGTGACATTGATAACAGAAAATCCACTACTAGATATTTGTTTACATTTTCAGGGAGAAATATATCATGGCAGTCGAGGTTGCAGAAGTGTGTCGCACTCTCTACAACTGAAGCGGAGTATATTGCCGCTACTGAAGCTGGCAAGGAGATGATATGGTTAAAACGGTTCCTTCAAGAGCTTAGATTGCATCAGAAGGAGTATGTCGTCTATTGTGACAGTCAAAGTGCAATAGATCTTAGCAAGAACTCTATGTACCATGCAAGGACCAAACACATCGACGTGAGATATCACTAGATTCGAGAAATTGTAGAGAGTGAATCTCTAAAAATCTTGAAGATTTCTACAAGTGAGAATCCCACATATATGTTGAACAAGGTGGTACCAAGTGACAAGTTTGAATTGTGCAAAGAGCTTATCGGCATGCACTCAATCTAGAAGTCCGGTATTACCTCTTTTAGGTGAATGAGTCTGGAGGGGGAGATTGTGGAGTTCATACCCATAATGAGGAAGAAAAAAATAGGAAGGGAAATTTGCAAGATGCCAAAATTGGTGGTAGGCACCGAAATGCACCGAAATACGTTTTTGACCAAAATTGATTTTGGTTCTCAATTTTCAATTTGCAAAATGCAAGTTGTAGGAAACCAACTTCTGATTGGTTAAGAGTTATGACACATATTCCTATAAATAAAAGCCTTCACCTTCTCATTTGACACACCAGTCTCAGAGAAAAAATATATCTGAGAGTTAGAAAGAAAGAGTGAGGTTTCACAGACAGGGTACAAGAAAATAGTCTGTGAGAAAAATAGAGAGTGAGCGATATTGTAGTGAGGTGAGAATATCAAAAGAGGATTATTTCTTTTGAGTGTTGTAGTGGTCATTGGAGTATTTTACTTAGACCTACAAAGTGTAAAATTCCTTGCTATAGTGATATCAATTGCTCCTCTCGGGGCCGTGGTTTCTTTCCTTATTCAAAAGGGGTTTCCACGTAAAAATCTTTGTGTTCTTGTTGTTCTTTTATTCTTGTTGATTACCGTATCGCGGTGCTACGTTATTATTCCACTTTTATTACCGTGAATATTATTTTTGTTGAGGGTTTATTCCCAACAAAAGGTTGATAAGAGGTTTAATTGAGAAAAAATTAGTATTGGAGGAAAGAAAGTGGGTAGAAGTTTCATTTGTAAACCGATTCTGGATATGCATGTGCTCAACCAATCAAGTCTAATAACGTGTACAGTTACAAAATACATGTCAAAAGAGAATAGCAAAAAAAAAACTATTGATTTAGGCATATTATCAAACGCCATCAATACAAATTGGATACAATCATAAGAAACTATCCAAAAGAATAGAAAAAACTACTATATACCCACTATAATCCCATTACCAATAATCGTGTGCATAAAAAGAAATGCAATAATATACTCCGTAAAACGCACTACAATTGAGCAGAATAAAACACACATTAGAATTAGTTTGGAACTCAAATTGAGAATTTAAAAAAAAACACTCAATTGCAGATGCATACGTGTGCAAGATGGTACAACTAAACCAAACAAGAGAGGGAAATTTAAATGGAACTAATAAGAATGAGCAGAGCAATAGAAGAAACAATAGAAGAGTGATAATAGGCTATATTTATGAAATTTAGACACTATTTACACTCTAATTTAGCCGCACTTTATTGATATTTGAATGCTAAAAGAGAATAAAATGCTCTAATTAAGAATTTGATGCTTTGCAGGAGCTACTCCGAGCTAGGAGGGAGCTAACGAGTGTTTTGGAGTCAACATGGAGTGTTGAAGGCCAATCGAAGGTTAGCCCGGTCGAAAAGGAGCAAGAAAAGCAAGCGAGACGACCCCTCCAGGTGCGCGGCCGCGAAGTGGGCCGCGAATTGGACCGCGAACTCAAGGCAGTGAGGCAGTGGAAATCCGCAGCCAGATCCGTGGTTGAATCCGCGGCCGTGGATGGACGGACGAAAACTAAACACGCAGGGTTAATTATGTAATTTTCTAGGCGACTAACCTAAACCTATATGAAGCCTAAACTCGCCCAGAACTCAAACATAGCTGGTTTTAGAAGATTTTAGAGGCAAGAACAAGGGAGAGAAGACGGATAATTTCCTAAGAGTTTTCATCTTCTTCTTCATACTTCAATTTGTTGATTATGAATTATTTTAGTGATTTGTTTTTCATTAGTATAAATAGCTAAATCTATTATCTAGGGTTGATGGAACCAATTGTTGGATGAAGTCTTGACTCTATTTTGTTATAATTGAGCCGTGTTTGTTCTATGATTGTTCAACTACGTATTGTATTGTGGTTAATTGAAAGGGCCCTTGATTAATCGTGTCTAGTTACCTTGTGTTGCTTGATAAAGAAAACTTGGTTAGATTGTTGTTGAACAACACCACTTTTTGGTAAGTTAAGAGATTAATTACTTGAATTTAAAAGTGGGGTTAGAAATAACGAAGCTTTGGTGGGATAATTCTGAGTTGCATAAATTGTTAACTAGAGTAGTTCGAGAGAATGCTTCTAGTAAATTATCGTAATTGATCGGGAGATAATTACGGTAGCCCGCAACTCATAATCCTCATAGAGTACTACGACGAGATTATAGCTAAAGAGTTAAGAATTAATCCGGCAATTGGGGAAAGCAATAGCCCTAGATCCTTTTACCCTTGAATTCAATTTTAGTCTTGATTAATTCTAATTTTATTGTCATTTTTCCTTAGCTAAATAAATTCCTCTGATTATTCATAAAACTCTTGCATCCGGAAGTTGTCTGAGCTTATCATTAGCATTATTTAAAGTTGTAGTAAATAGGTTAGTTCCCTGTGGGATTCAACTCTGGACTTGAACCGGGTTATATTTGCAGTGACCGCTTAGTCCTCTTTACAAGGCATAGTTGGGCATGATCAAATTTTGGCGCCGTTGCTGGGGAACTAACGGTGTTATTTATTACAACTTAGAAGAATTTCTAGGATTCTTAGTTTAGATCAATTTCTTATGGTGTTTAAATTTTTCCATTGAAATTCTCACGTTTGAATTCTCCTGTGACTCAGGTGTATGCCTAGAAGCTCTTCGAGGACTGGTGAACTTTTTGAAGGACTCCCAGACCCCGAGAAAGCATTTAGGGCATTAAATCGAGCCAACAAGAAGAACAAACAGTTACAACAAAAACACACACTCGAAATTGAAATGGACAACGTGGACGATGTCAACGGAAATAATCGGAATAATCGGGTTGACCCAAACAATGGAGTTGTGGCACATCTTGTGCCAGAAGCTGCTTTTTATGATTGGGCACAACCAACTGCTGATAACCTGGCCACCGCCATTGTTGTACCTCAGATACAAGCGGAGACATTCCAGATCACCCACAACATGCTGCATCTGTTGCAAAATAAGGGACTGTTCTCCGGGTCATACATTGAAGACCCACAACAAGATCTGATGAATTTCCTATCAATATGTGTGACCCAAAGACAGCGAATGTGACTCCTGAAGACATCAAGCTATTACTGTTTCCATTCTCTGTGACTGGAGAGGCTCAAACTTGGCTGAATTCGCTCCCAATAAACTCCATTTCCACTTGGGAAGAATTAGTCACACAGTTCTTAAACAAGTTTTATCCTCCCAACAAGACTGCAAGGCAGATTGATGAGATATTGCAGTTCAGGCAGAAACCAACTGAGACCTTGCGAGAAACCTAGGAGAGATTCAAGGGTATGCTAGTGAAGTGTCCACACCATGACATTCCAGATCAGATACTAGGACAGAGATTCTACATGGGTTTAGCAGAAAGTTTGAAGGCCAATGCAGATGCTTCAGCTGGGGGTGCATTTTTTAGCAAAACATTCACAGAGTGCAAGATTCTTAATGACAAGATGGCTCAAAATTCAGGCTGGATGGCTAGAGGTATGACACTTACACCAATAGTGTATTCTGTTGCTCTTGACCCAAATAATTCTCATGCAGAGAACATAACCACTCTCATGATTCGGATGAGCATACTAACAAAGAAAATTGATGAGATGGGTACAAAGCAAGTGCACATTGTTGATACAACAAATGGAGGATTGTGCACTCCTTGCATAAACCAGTCATATATGTGCTCGTGGAGTGGAGAGAATGACAACCAGGTCTTAAGAGAAGACATGAATTATGTCAATAATTTTGGAGGTTAGAGGTAAGGTGGGCAACAATGGGGACCAGCACCAAACCAGCAGTATAGACCCAAGCTGCCACAACACAACCCCAATTCTGGAGGCGCATGACCACAAGGTCAAGATATGCCTTATCAAAGGCAACATGGCTATAATCAGTAGCACCAGCAACAGTTGGCCTACCAACCACCTCATCAACAACAGGACAACAACATGGTAGAAGTCAGGGGTATGCTGCAACAACTCATTGGAACAAATGGTAAGATGCAAGAAAAGTTAGCAGCACATGATTCAGCAATCGAAGGCATTGAAACTCAACTGGGACAGTTGTCTATGGCCTTGAACAATCGCCCCCAAGGAACATTGCCTACAGATACAAATATTAACCCAAAGGAGCAAAACCCAAATCAGCTAATGGCAGTGAGTCTCAGGAATGGAAGAGATTTAGACAGAGAGCAAGCAGTTGTTCAATCTAGGAGAGATACTACGCCAACTACTCCAGTTACATTAGAGGCAGATGGGTCAGCAGAGCTCACTGAGGTGGTAGTTGAACAGGCACAGGTTGACAAGGGTAAGGCGAAAGAAGGTGAACAAGTCTCAGAACAGGTGGCACCTCTTGTTCCAGAAGCTTCCAATAAACAAAAGACATAAAGTAGTGAACAAAGGTTGACTCCTACACCATTCCCTCAAAGATTGGCAAAACAAAAGAAAGATGATCAATACAGGAAATTCATGGAAATGCTTCGACAGATTCAATTGAATATTCCACTGATTGATGCTTTGAGGGAAATGCCAGGGTATGTAAAAATGATGAAGGACCTGATGTCGCGGAAATTTGACTTCCAGGACCTGTCCACTGTAACTCTGACACAGACCTGCAGCGCGGTAGTGACAAGACCTATGGCCCAAAAGGTGTCTGATCCAGGTAGCTTCACTATCCCATTCACTATTGGGAGTTATGCTTTTGCTAAAGCATTGTGTGATTTGGGAGCCAGCATAAACTTGATGCCCTTGGCAATCTATACAAAACTGGGCATTGGCAGAGCTAGACCGACCTCAATGTTGCTGCAACTGGCTGATCGCACAGTCAAAAGACCGACAGGAATTCTTGATGATGTACTTGTGCAAGTGGGGAAATTTGTATTTCCTACAGACTTTGTTATTCTTGACTGTCAGGTGGATGAAGAGATACACATCATTCTGGGAAGGCCATTCTTAGCCACTAGGAGAGCATTAATTGATTGTGAGACTAGAGAGTTGAAAATGAGGTTGAACAATGAAGAAATAATATTCAACATTCAACAATCCATGAGGAGACCCAGTGAATTTGCAAACTGCTCACTAGTGGAGGCCGTGGATGTGATACCGCAAGAAAAGGATGAGACCCTTAATGTCAAGGATCCACTAGAAGCCTGATTGATGAATTTGGAAGAGATGGACGGTGAAGGGTTGGCAGAGTGGGTCATGGCTCTCGAAGGTCAAGGATTCTAGAAAAGGGAACCTCAGTTCGAGCCCCTACACTTAGAAGAGAGAGCAACACCACCTGCAAAACCATCAATAGAGCAGCCACTACAGCTGGACTTGAAATCGCTTCCAGCCCACATTAGGTACGTTTTCTTGGGGCATAATACTACTTTGCCTGTTATTATATCATTTGGTTTGCTAGCTATGCAGGTAGAGCAACTATTGCAGGTATTGCAAGAATGTAAGACTGCCATTGGTTGGACCATGGCAGACATAAAAGGTATCAGCCCAGCCTTTTGCATACAAAAGATTCTTCTTGAAGAGGGGGCACAAACCTTCCAGGGAGCATCTACGACGGGTGAACCCGAATATGAAGGAAGTAGTAAAGAAGGAAGTGATCAAGTGGCTGGATGCGGGTATCATCTTCCCCATCTATGATAGCAACTAGGTCAGTCCTGTCCAATGTGTGCCGAAAAAGGGAGGAATGACGGTCGTACAAAATGAGAATAACGAGTTAATCTCAACTCGTATAGTCACGGGGTGGCGGATTTGCATGGACTATCGGAAACTGAATACAGTCACTCGAAAGGACCATTTCCCATTGCCTTTCATTGACCAAATGTTGGACAGGTTAGCTGGGCGGTCCCACATCTGTTTCTTGGATGGATACTTGGGGTATAACCAGATCTCAATAGCCCTGGAAGACAAAGAGAAAAAATCCTTCACTTGTCCATATGGAATCTTTGCCTTTCGAAGAATGCCCTTTGGAATTTGCAATGCACCGGCTACATTCCAGCGGTGCATGTTAGCCATTTTGACTAACATGGTAGGGGATACTATGGAGGTGTTTATGGATGATTTCTCCGTGGTGGGGGATTCATTTGAAGATTGTCTTCACAACTTAAGAAGAGTTCTCAAAAGATGTGTGGAGACAAATCTGGTGCTGAATTGGGAAAAGTGCCATTTTATGGTACACGAAGGAATAGTGTTGGGGCATCGAGTGTCCAGCAAGGGCATTGAAGTCGACGATGCCAAGGTTGATGTGATTGAGAAGCTGGCACCGCCCACTTCGGTAAAGGCAGTGAGTAGTTTCCTTGGGCACGTCGGGTTCTATAGGCGATTCATTAAAGCTTTTTCCAAAATTGCTAACCCCTTATGTAAGCTGCTTGAAAAGGATCAGCCCTTTGTATTTTCTAACGATTGCAAGTTGGTTTTTGAGGAGTTGAAGAAGAGATTGGTGACTGCACCCATCATAGTTGCACCAAACTGGGAGCAACCGTTCGAGCTCATGTGTGACGCCAGTGATTATGCTATAGGAACAGTCTTGGGGTAACGCAAAGAAAAGATTATGCACCCGATTTACTATGCAAGTAGGACGCTCAACGGTGCACAGCTCAATTACATTGTAACGGAAAAGGAAATGCTGGCTGTAGTGTTTGCCTTCAACAAATTCAGGTCGTACTTAATTGGTTCAAAAGTTATTTTTTATACTGATCATGTAGCAATTAGGTACTTGATAGCAAAGAAGGAGTCAAAGCCACACTTGATTCGCTGGGTTCTTTTGCTACAAGAATTCGATCTGGAAATCAGTGACAGAAAGGGGACGGACAATCAAGTGGTAGACCACCTCTCAAGATTGGAAGGAGGTGAAAAGAGAATGGAGGTTGAAGACGTAACAGAGACATTCCCGGATGAACAGTTACTTACTGTGACAATGGAGGAGACGCCATGGTATGCTGATATTGCTTACTATTTAGCAAGCGGTATTGTACCTTATGAACTCTCCTCAATTCAAAAGAAAAAGTTCTTCCGCGATTGTCGAGCCTATTATTGGGACGAACCTCTTTTGTTTAAAATATGTGTAGATAACATGATCAGGAGGTGTATCCCCGAGAAAGATCAACCTTCTGTTTTGTAGGCTTGCCATGCTTCACCATATGGTGGACACTTTGGAGGAATCCGGATAACAGCAAAAGTATTGGAATCGGGATTGTATTGTCCTACCCTGATGCCCATGCTTGGGTCAAAAGTTGCGATGAATGCCAAAGGACATGCAACATATCTCGCTGCCACGAGATGCCGATGACCACAATTCAAGAGGTGGAGGTTTTTGACATGTGGGGGATCGACTTTATGGGGCCGTTCATCAGCTCGTATGGTAACAAATATATATTGGTAGCGGTTGACTATGTCTCCAAGTGGGTCGAAGTGATGGCTCTCCCAACCAATGATGCAAAAGGGGTAACAAGTTTCCTAAAGAAAAATATCTTCACACGTTTTGGCACCCCGAGAGCTATAACCAGTGATGGTGGAACCCATTTTTGCAATAGAACGTTCGCACGTCTGTTGGAAAAGTATGGAGTTCACCACAAAGTAGCCACACCGTACCACCCACAGACGAGCGGGCAAGTTGAAGTGTCCAACAGAGAAATTAAAAGTGTCTTGACAAAGACAGTGAATGCAACAAGGACTGATTGGACGAAGAAGATGGATGATGCATTATGGGCGTACCGCACATCATTCAAAACTTCAATTGGTATGTCACTGTACAAGTTGGTGTTTGGAAAGACATGCCACCTTCCAGTAGAGCTCGAACATAAAGCACTTTAGGCACTGCGGTAGTTGAATCTGGACGTAGAGACCGTAGGCACCAGCAGAGTCACTGAGTTACATGAGCTCGAGGAATTCAGGTTCCATGCATTTGAGAATGCTAGATTATACAAAGTAAAAATGAAAACGATCCATGATAAGCACATCTTAGATCGGAACTTTAAGTCCGGAGATCTAGTGTTATTATACAACTCGAGATTGAGATTGTTTTCGGGTAAGTTGAAGTCCCGATGGTCAGGACCCTTCAGAGTGGTGCAAGTGTTCTCAAGTGGAGCTGTAGAGATTAAATCCGAAGATGGGACAAGCAAGTTCACGGTAAATGGGCAAAGGTTGAAACATTACCTTGGAATGGTCGAAGAGAAAGAGGATAGAGTGGTGATAACTTTGGAAGAGCCCCAGTACGCGAATGAGGAGTGATAATGAAAGCATGCGTCGTGCTGCGACGTTAAATCAGGCACTTCCTGGGAGGCAACCCATTGTTTGTTGTAAATCGTCGTGCCGCGACGTTAACTTAGGCGCTTTTTGGGAGGCAACCCATTATTTTTTTTGCTTTGGTTGTTGTAATTGATTTTGAACGACTTTGACCGATCTACTAGTGTGCAGGGCAAAACTTATGCGCATCGGAAGGATTCGGGGGTCGAAATTAACCCGAGAATAGGTAAAAATGCGGCAAAGACAAAACTTGGCTGGAGACGGAGATCCGTGACCGTAAATTGGATGGCGGATATGGCCGCAGATTTTGGCATGTGTTCTGTCCCCCGTCTGCGGCCACAGATTGGGGCGCAGATTTTTAGTCCCCCTCTGCCCAGAATCCGCGACCGCGAATTGGACCGCAGATCTGGGTGCGGATATGGGGCGTGTCTAGGTAAGTTTTTTTAAATTTTTAGTCAAATTATATTTTATTTTCCCTAACTTAAACGCCCACCACCCCCANTCCAATCTCCGTTCTTCTCAAGATCTCCAAGTAAGTACAAGATTTTATTCCTCTTTCTTAGTTTTTTTCTTTTTTTCTTTTCAGTTATTTTATTTTTCAATCTCTTCCCTTGCTATTGTATGTATAGGGTATAAAATCATAGGTTCTTTTGTCTGGGATTTGGATTGTGGTTTATATGTGGTATATGGAGGCTATTTGAATTGGTTGATTTGGAGGAAGCCATTGTTGGGTTTGTCGGAATGGTAGTCTAATTGGGTCTTTGGGTGACTTGGGGGACATATGCACACTACCTGTTTGTTGATTTGCCTTAATGAGTGTTGAATATAAATTGTGACTAATTGTGTGAGTGAAGTCTGAGTAACCGCCATTGGGTCACATATTCTGCTCTCCACTGATAGTAGTATTTATTGTGTAGGTAACATGCAACCTTCAAAGAAGAGACGCGCTACTGGGGCCTCATCAAGTGGTCATGGAGCCTCATCTCGGGGATGGGTACCGGCCAGTGCAGCTCAGTTTGATCGTACCAGGTTTGTCTCCAGAGCTGCCCAAGACCGTTTCAGTTTGAAGGCCACTAAAAAACCTGTACCGAAAAGGGGTATTGACAGGGCGTCCCTCCAGGATGAGTGCCCTAATATGTATCGGGAGTTGATCAAGTGCAGATTGGACAGCTTTTTCGAAGAGCCGGAGGAGGGTAACTTGATGCTTGTCCGGGAGTTCTATGCCAACTGCCCCGAACATGAGGATAGAATATGCACTGTGCGACACACGAGGGTGGATGCCTCGATAAAAGCCATCAGGAGAGTGTATCGATTGCCTGAATTCAATGGGGATGAGGATTTCTATGATACTTACAGGAGAGAACCCATCATATGGAACAGGTTTTTCAGAACTATCTGTGCACCAGACAAAGAGGTAGTGTGGGTTGTGCCGGGATCGAAGATACACTCTTCCTCACTCACTTTTGAAGGAAAGTGCTGGTTGTACATCATCAACCATCGCTTGCTGCCATCCCACAACACCACAGAGGTAAATAGTCTGAGAGCTGCCTTGATCTGGTGCTTCGTGAATGGCCACGACTTTGATGTGGCCAAGGTTATTCAGTCTGAGATGTTCGTCCGTTCATCACAGAAGAGGTATGAGTTCTTTTTTCCCTCTCTGATCACTAGATTGTGCCGGGCAGCAAGGGTGCATGAGAACCCAAATGCGGAAGGCATGGTAAAGAAAGAAGCAAAGTTCCGGGCAGACAAAGTGACCATCGGGAAAGATCCGGTGGCACCAGGGGTAACTCATAGTGACGATTCTAATGCATCGGAAGAGGGCAATGAAGGGAAGAAGGTGGTTAAACCTGCCTCACCCCCACAGGAACAAGTTGCAGCGGCTGAAGGACCATCCCAGGTCAGACGGAGTA